ATAGGCTTATATTCTGAGTCATCATTTGGCTATCTTAAAACATAGTATTACTCTGTAACTTTAGCACCAAAACCTCCCATAAAGTGCTACAGTTATCTTTAAATCAGATTTTTAAGTTGGGGTCTTTGAAACCTTCTAAAGTTCCAAGAAACCCTTAAACAGTACCCTCTAAAAAGAGTATGGAGAGTCACTAAGATTCCAAGCATATTTGAATAGACCCTTGACCTGTTGGGTTTACTTGGCATCTTTGAAATCTGAGGGTTGGATCTAAATGATCTAATAGGTCCTTTTTCACATAGAAATCTTTAGAGTTGTCTTTTTTTTTTCACTAGAAGAAATTGTAAAGCATTTGGCAGTTACATGGTTTCCCTTATTTGCAATAATTAGCACATGTCTAGGATAATCTTATCAGATGAGCAGAAAAGGTCAAAAACTGTGTACATATGACCATATAAGATGATGCTAAGCAAAATGAACCCCACCGTATGGACACAAGAGGTTTTTCTTTGTCATTGTTGTTTTTAATGTACTGTGTGAATTTTTTGTTTCTTTTGTATGTTCTTCCCCCTATGGTCTATCCCCTCTTGTCACTAGATTTGATTTTGGTACCTGCATCTTGTATATACATTTGTCTAAGTTGGGGAGGGGAAGGGGAATAACAAAATGCTGAAACAAGGACACAGGATGGCCCATTACAACAATGAGACTCACAAGACACTATGTTGGAAATGAACTTTACAACTCTCGGAGGGGGGGATAAGTAGGAGAGGGAAGGGATAGTCAGACAAAAACAAAGGAGGGGGTAACAATGTTCAACAAGAAATACACTCACTACCTTACTCACGTAACTATAACCCTTCTCTACGGCATCTTTACAAGAAAATTAGCATAACATTTGAAAGCAAAGCAGGAAGAAACCTGATCTACTTTGAATTACATTATTGTCGTCTCCTGGTGTTAATGGTTCGGACATTTTAAATTTGAAGGACTACATTTGCTACTGTGGTCATTGAACTATATTCTGCTACAAGGCAGGTGGCTTATCCACCCCATCAGAAAATGACTGATCAAATCCACTGAGTCACAAAATTAAACGTGGGTAGTAAACACCTTTCTGTTACCTTTTTTCTTTTAATTAAGTTTGAAGACAAAGTGCTAAAACTAATGTGATGCCACCAACTGCTGAGAATGATGGGAGTCAGAGAGGCAGAGGCAGAGAATAGGAGGTAGAGAGGGTTATGTATGTATAAGCTATGGTAGGAAGGTAGAACAAGGGTACGTTTCATTGGCTGAAAAGATGAGAGATTCATTAAGTACAATGGAGGCTAATAGTTTAATATAAAACAGGTTTTTTAAATTATCTTTAAGTAGTTGCAAAAAGGAGTGGCAATTTAACAAATAAGTTATGGATGCAATGCATCTTGATTAATAAAAACAAATTCTTATTGTTGTTGTTGTTATTATTTCATTGGTCGTGGGGCTTGAACTCTGGGCCTGGGCACGCTCCCTGAGTTCTTCAGCTCAAGGCTACCACTTGGGCCACAGCACCACTTTCAGTTTTCTGGTGGTTTATGGGAGATAAGAGTCTTACAGACTTTCCTGCCCAGCCTGCCTTTGAACCTCGATCCTCAGATCTCAACCTCCTGAATAGCTAGGATTACAGGTGTGAGCCACCAGTACCAGAAAAACAAATTATTTTTAAGGAACACCATCTCTCTCACACATATACACACCTGGTTGGATTTTGTTAATATACCTAATTCTGTTTAGTTTATAAAGAATTTCCATTTCTGAAGTGAATCAACACAATTATCTATTTCTTGGCTACCACTAGTCTGAGGGTCTAACTGGGTTAGATTCCCTAGCCCAGATACAGCACTATATGCTTTATATATATTATCGTCTCAGGAAATTAATACAGAGACCCTTATTGAAAGTACTAACATCCTACACTAACTTAACAAGTATAAAATTGTCACAAGGCTTTTCTCCACAGAATATTTAGACTACAAGAAGGCAAAGGAATATTTAAAGTGTTAAAACAGGCCAACTTTGAACTTACTAAAACTGGCTATGCATTTAAATGGGAGGGTGAAGTAAAGATACTGTCCTAGATAAACTCTCACAGTTTGCCAAATATAGACTGTTTGGATAATAATTTTTGAGAATGTATCATAGTAAAATAAGTAAAATATAATTCTGTGGAAGGCATAAAATGTGAGGAATAAGAGCATATAGGGAATTTAGTGTTTTTTTTAGTTTTTTTTAGGCAGTAACAGCTTTAGGCTGGGCAAAAAGTGAGACGCTCTCGCAACAAATAAACACAGTGAAAAAGGCTGGAGGTTTAACCAAGCTATAGAGCATGAAGCCCAGAGTTCAAGCCCTAGCACTGACAAAGAAAGAAGAGAGGGAGAGAGGGAGGGAGGGTATAAGAAAGGAAGGAAAGAATGAAAGAGAAAGAGAAAGGGAAAGAAATAAAAGAAAGACAGGAAGGAAGGGGAAGGGAATGGAAAGAAAAGAAAGGACTGTACTAGCGTAGGAGCATGGTAGAGTAAATGATTAGAAAAACTCACTAAAGTACTTTTAAATTCTATATAGGGTGTGCATAATCAATTGAAGGTATCTCTGCACTTTTTGATGGTATCAAAAATAGGGTACATGGTTCTCCTGTCTATGGAAGAAAACCAAGCAAGTAGGAAGGAGAACAAAAAGTGAAATGTATAAAATGATGAAATAAAACATGTGAAACACATTCAGATAAGAAGTGGCCTAAACATAAAGGGCTAACTTTGTCAGGCAACTTCTCCAATGGACAGGAAACAAAGTGCTACATTTATTTAAAAAAAAAAAAAACCAATGAGGTGATGAACAAAGGCTGAGCTGTCAAATATAAACAGAAAATGAGTAAGATCAAAGAGTACCACGAGTATCCCGGTAATTAAAGGGCTTTGGGACATACATAATAGTAATTTGTGGATTTGCCATTGATTTGTGATTGTACTTAGAAATTTAATCCCACACTCAAGAAACTGATGAAGTAAAGTAAGTGATGAGAGGGAAAGCAAGCAGACAGAGACTGGGGCAACCATGAATATGATCGTTAGCACAAAGAATTGCCTCAATAAAAGCAGAAAACATTTTATTTGAGAGAATGTATGGGTTAGAAAAAAAGGTTCATCTTAAGTATCAGTTAGGAAGTCTCAAAGATAAAATCTAATAGTATAAGGATTCTTTGCAACAATGCATTAAAAATCAGTGAAGTCTAAAATAAAGACAGAATTTCCTTTTGTGATAGGTTCACAGGTGAGGCTATATCTTCAGAACCATTTGGTGAGATAGATTTTGACAACCTTATTGACCCTTCATTTTTTTCATTTTAAAAACCAGCATTAAAAACAAAACAAAACAGGTGGACACTGGTGGCTCATGCCTGTAATCCCAGCTACTCAGGAGGCTGAGATCTGAGGATCACAGTTCAAAGCCAGCCTGGGTAGGAAAGGCCATGAGACTCTCATCTCCAATAAACCACTCAGAAAACCGGAAGTGGCACTTTGGCTCAAGTGGTAGAGCACTATGAGCTGAAGAGTTGAGGGACAGAGCCCAGGCCCAAAGTTCAAGCCCCATGACTGACAAAAAAAATAAAATAAGATAAAAATAAAAAAATAAAAATAAATAAAGCAAAAGCTCAGCATTTGTACCATTGAAATCTCAGCTTAGTTTTTTTCACCTGAAATGTGTCATGGGGAAGCATCTCTATAGTAGATAACATTTAGTAGATAACATGTGATTCTCATTGCCTTCTATGTTGCTCTGAACATTTGGCTTATTAAATGATCCTATATTTGTTGGTGTATTTGGTACAATACCCATCATTTTCCTGGTTTCATCCATCTCTTTTCTTTACGATCCCGTCTCTTTTTTCCCCTATAGGTCTATCTGTGCTTACCAGTTCTGTAGGCTATTCATGAATTATAAAAATGAAGTAATTTCTCTAGGGAGGGTGTGCCAGGGTCTTTTGGAAAGTAGCTTTGTCATGTGTAGCCATCACTGAATGGAAAATCATTCACTAAAGAGGAACTTGAGACAATTATGCACCTTGCTGTATCTTCCTTTTTATAAACCAGGATTTTTTTTCTCATCTCAAACTCTATTTTGTTCCTTCCTTTTCTTTTTAATTTTGCAAATGACGCGTAATAGTTCTCGGGGAGTATGTGTATGTTTTTGTAATTGTAGGCAAGGTCAGGCAGTGTTTGTACTTGTGCTAAATTGCTGTTATATAAACAAAGATAAAACCATTTGAGAGGAGCATTTAAGAATTAGAAGGTTTATAGTCAATACCTAACAATGAAAATTTTCAGCTTAGCAGAGATGACAAATGGATGTAAGTAAGTGCTTAATAAATAGGACTTTGTGGATATGAGGTAACAATCTGAAATGTGAAGAGATTTAACAGTGCAGGGCTGCTTTGTCAGTGCATGTCCAAGCTTCTGCTTGAAAACACTCACTGCAGTCTAGGCAACATTGTAGGGAGAATGGAGTAGGTTGAGGAACATAAAGATGATGAACATAAAAGAGGTCATCTGTATGTGTGTGTGTGTGCACGCGTGTGTGTGTGTGTGAGTGTGTGTGTGTGTGCATGTGTGTGTGCTTGTGTGTGCATAGACCAGTACTGGGGTTTGAACTCAGAGCCTGGACACTGTCCCTTAGCTTTTTCATTCAAGGCTGACACAAGCCACATCTCCTCTTCAGCTTTTTGGTTGTTAATTGGAGGTAAGAGTCTCATGGACTTTCCTTCCTGCCTGGCTTCAAACCATGATCCTCAGGTCAATCTCTTGAGTAGCTAAGATTACAGATGTGAGTCACCAATCCTCATCAAGGAATTCTTCAGAACCAAGAACCTTTAGTATTGGAACTTTCTTTCTTTAAAGTAGTCCATGAACTTGTTTCTTTCTTATTTGAATTTTACAAATGGCTACTTCCTATCTTGTCTTCTATTTCAGATTTCATCTGAGAAAATGTCTTTTAGATTCGGCCAGCATCTCATCAAGCCATCTGTGGTGTTTCTCAAAACAGAACTCTCCTTTGCCCTTGTGAACAGGAAACCTGTGGTTCCAGGTCGTATCCTTTTCTTTTAAGAGGCATGAAAAACCCTTGTGCCTAATCAACAAAATGAACGCAGGATTTGTCTCCAATGTCTAGAAAAAGGTAAGAATTCACCTTTTTCCTTTTTGGAGAGACCAGGTATGATGTTATTCACATTTATTTTGAATCCAGTTGGTGGCACCAGTAATATGCTTGATCAATGTTGCAGAACTTCTGAAAAGAGTTGCTTAGCAACCAGGGCTTCGGAGGTGAATTTTCGCTTGACCTTTTTACTACTGGAGCTGTGTAAATAGGTGTTTCTAAAACTGGCCCAGTAAAATATCCTTGGCACTTTGGATTCATGTTTTTCATTGTGAATTTTAATGGTAGAATTCACATGGTAACTTTGCCATATGGAAATGTGATATTATATTACAAGCTAAGACTTGCTTTGTTTTGTTAATTCTTGGAGATTGTTCAGTTATGAGTTTTGATTCAATTCATCTTAACTTGTAAATCACCTATGATGGGATTTGAAATGACATCTTCTCTTGGGTAAAACTCCTGTTTAGACTATTGTCCAGTGTCTGGACAGTAGTAGTCGTAGAAGAGTTATTTTATCTGTGGGGAAAAACTTTTTTCTTATTGACTTCAGTAGGAGCTTTATTTTTCTTCTACAGTGAAAGTTATAGGAGATTGTGAAATACTTGGAGAAGTTATTTTTAAGTGATTGATATGATCATTTATGATTGTGTATGTAAGGGTTTTGTTGAATTTTCAGTTTTTTTTCTTTACTCTTATAAAAGGCAATGAGAACAAAGCTTCAAATTTTAAGGTAATATGTATTTTTCTGTGCAGAGACATGGTTTGGAAATGATTTTGTAATAATTCTGAATGTGCAAGTATACTGAGAATTTTTTCAGGATAGGTTATATTTTTTTCATTGAATAAACTAAAAATACTTAAGAAAGAGCCTTGTGAATACTCAGCCATAGTAATAACACAATAAGAAGAAAACATTTACCAAATCACAATTGCATGACAGATTGCCAAATTCTTTTTTTTTTTTTTTTTTGCCAGTCTTGTGTCTTGAAATCATGGCCTGGGTGCTGTTCCTGAGCCCCCTTGTGCTCAAGGCTAGTAATCTAGCACTTGAGCTACAACAATACTCTCTGCTCTTTCAGAATAGTTTACTGGAGATAGAGTCACATGGACTTTCCTGCCTGGGCTGGCTTCAAACTGTGATCCTCAGATCTCAGCCTCCTGAGTAGCTAGGATTATAGATGTGAGCCACCAGGCCTGGCTTAAAGTGCCAAATTCTTTGAGTCCAAATTTACCTGAGTTTTATAAATTTACAAAAACAAATATCAAACTATAAGCTAACAAAAATGTTATGTATCATTTTACTTTGTAATATTTTAAGGTTTTTTTTAAAAACCATTAAAGATACAGTTGAATCAAAATACCCAATATTAGAAAAGTACGATATTCTGTTTATAAAATAAATGAAAATAAAAGCTGAAGGAGGATGATTTACGAAGATGCCTATAACAGTATAAGTTGAATTTTTGGAATAATAAAACATTGTAGTTTTTGTCATTGTCTTTTTCCAAGGGATTAAAAAAATCCTACTAACTATAAATTGAGATGGAAAAAGATTATAGTTTAAATGTCATTTCCCCCCCCCAATCCCCCCCTCCGTGGGACAGTTTTAATTGACTTTTAACAAAGAACTATGGGAACTTGGGAGGAAAAAAGTCAACGCAGATGTCTAAATTCTACTACCTGCGACTCAGAAAATGTGAGGTCTTAGAGATGTACTGATTTTCAAAATGGCTAATTTATGCAATGAACTTGGCTTTATGAGTTTTCTCATTCCGTATCTTGATAGCATCTTGATTTTTTTCATGATGTCTCAAACCAGCGCTGAACATACATGAGAGAAAGGGGCAATGCTTTCTCGTGGGGAAGTAGCTTCAGTGCACAGGGTGGGATTGACGAGTGTCTGTTTCCCATCAGTGGCTCTGGGGGTCACCATTTTATAAGTGAATTCGTACCAGTTACCTGAGTAAATGCCAAGGACATGGAGAGTGCTTATTAAAAGAAGCAGCTTATTAGGAAAGTAGCAAGAGGACCCAGCTCTTTCTGAGACTAGCAGTAAGAAGCCATGATTTATATATATATATATATATATATATATATATACATATATATATATATATATTTGTAATCAATACACTCTGTGCATTCTGTGAGGCTATTTCATATCTGCAGTGTTGAAAATGGTTCTAGGGCCAGTGGATAATGTATTCAGACAATCCTTTTTTTATGCGTTAATTTTGTAACTTTTTATTTTATATTACCTTTGTAAACTCAGTTCGGTTTCAGCTGTGAGAAGCATCTTACTAAAGCCACTCATTTACTTGCAAAAAGCCATATCCTTTTGTCCTTAGATTTGGTAACTCAATCAGTGGATAGCCCTGTCCACTAACATTTCGTTAAATAAATGGTAATGTGTCTGGAGTAGGCTTTTATCTTTCCCCAGCATTTTGTCCTGCCTGCCCTGCCCTAACCCTTTGGTATGGGCCATCCAGTGTTTCTGCGCTTCCCTGTCTCTAGGCTGCACCTCATTCTAAGCTATTGCTCTGAACACATCACTCAGCAACCCACTGAGGAATCCCTCCATATGTTTGAAGGAAAAGTTCACACTCTAGCATAGGTTTTAAGGACTTTTATTATCTTGTCTTTCATTCCCCTTCTTTCCTAAAGCTGTGGCATATTTTCACTTTATCATAGTTCTCCTCTGCCACCCTTGTACCTGAGTTACAGAATTCCCCATCCTTTTCATTTGAACTAAGATGCTTTGATAACTACCCTCCCTCTTAGGAAACAAAGAATCTGTCCTCATTGTTTGTGACTCTTGATTCTTTATTCACATGTTGATTACTGAGCTCATACCCTGGTCCAGGCACCATGCCAGACACTTCATTCCAGTCTGCCTCATGTCAGGACTATGTGTAGTCTTGTTTGCATAGAAAAGCATGCATTCCTGCAAGTAGAACTTCCTTTTGCAGACCTCTTTTCTTCTTCTTAGCACCCCACAGAACTATGGTTACTGAATTTAAAGTGAAACTGTGAATAGTAGAAACATACTCACTTCTGTAATGAATGGAACGGCATGATAATGGTCTACTGAAATCCTGTCTTTTCATATTGTCATTCTCAAAGCCAAGTCCTGTCACCATTTTGTCTTAGACTTTACAGAATCCTATTTAAATGGTATTTTACCAACATTCCCTATGTCAGCGACAACTCTTGGTTAAAATTATGTGGTGTTTGGTGGCTTGTCTTAAAGGAATGAATAGATTGGCCTATGGGTAAAGATGCCTTTTCCATTTCTAAAAGCATGTTAATTTGTCAGTGGAAAACTTTATATTTATTTACAGGCAGCATACTGACATAGTCAGACAAAATAGAAGCTCCTATTTTCTATTTTTGTTTGATTCTGAGTAAAAGCAGTATTGAGGTGACCACTCATGAGATGCAAATGTTATCTTTGAGTTCTTGTCCTTAACTAACATTTTGCTGCCTCTGACTACCCTGTTTTCTTATGACTTTTTGCTGGTTTTCAGAAGTAAGAAAGGAACTGTTTGATTGGAGACCATAGATAAGCTTTGAAACAGAACTGTTTGCTTCACTCTCAGGAGAGCTACTTCAGTCCCTCCTTGTCGCCACCTAAAGCAAACACTTCTGTTTCTTGCCAGCAGTGTTTAAAGCCGATTGAATAGGCTTTGGCCACTGTGGTACAACACTCCAGAAGAATGTGTCAAAATGTCTTTAATCCATTAATTTCCTGTTACCTAAAAGTCCTTCTCAGAGGTTCTTTAGGGAGGAGAACAGAATCATTTTAGAGAGTGCATCCTCAGAATTTTGCAGAGAATCTTTTATTCGTGCACATTAATGCAGGTCAGCTGTTGTTTGTGGCTTCAATGAACTTGAGCCATTGTGGTTAATACTTGTTTCTTTCCCCTTGCATTGGGCTGTGTCTACCTGAGCACTTGAGTTGAGCATGAAAAATGAATTTGAACATGACTGGATTCCATTTGGAGACTGGGGCTTTTATTGTAAATAGTATTATTCATTTGTTATGTCTTGTTGTTTCCAGCAGACAGTGTATTGATCTGTGGATTGCTATTCAGAAGAGCATATGGAGCTCTAACATGAGGGGGAACATGGCAGAATTGGTAGACAGTCTGAATGTGGAATATAAGGATAGAAGACACTTTGCTAGCTGACCAGATACTATCTTACACAAATCATTTGTCAACGGTTTATTGAATTAGTAATTAAAAAGAACAATGTCTCTTGACAGCTGCATCGTATACAGAATGTTACTAGACCAAACAATGTAGGAATGATGCATGGAGAACAGCCTTACAAAGTGGGTTTGTGAAGAACTGGAGTAGGCATCTTCAAGAACATTTCTCCTTATATGTGTATTGCAATGGGAACTCTACTCTTAAGATTCAGCCTAGGAGAAAAAACAGAGGAGGAGGTAACAATGTTCATAGGAAATATACTAATTACTTTACTCATATAACTGTAACCCCTCTGTATAGTATCTTTACAGTAAAAATATATACTAAAAGAAAATTCAGCCTCAGTAGAAAGAAAATTAAAAACTGTACGTTTAAATGAGTCACGTTAACTTTTCTGTTTTCAGGTCTTTGCCGCATTGAGTACTGCTTGAAATAAATGAAAGACTAATAAAAATAGTTTTCTTACTTCACAGTGACTCTTACAGAGTAGATGCTATAGATAAAAGTGCCCTTTTAGTCCTTCCATAAAAATCAGGAATATTTGTCATTTCCTGAGTGGGTTGCAATCTTGTGAATTCCTTTAATTGTTCAGGAAACGACAGTTATTAGTGATCTGACGATCTTTCATTTCTCAAAACCGTTTCTTTTAAAATCTTCCTGTACAAATAAAAATGTGCACAAGCATTCTTTTAATATCCTTATTGCTAAAGTTAGAAT